TGTGGTGAGCAGTCCCGTACTTATGACGTCGGGCCTGCAGAACACGTGACCGCCCTCGGCGCTCACGGTGTGACGCAGGGGCCCCCCCGGCCCTTTCAGCCACCCCCCCTCCCTGCTAGGAACACCAGGAGAGGGCGTGACCGTGACGTCTCGTGTTCCAACTCCCGTTCCGCCCCTCACAGATTTCTACAGCATCTGGAGAGAGCAGGGCCTACTGACAGATATTTGGCTGGAGAAAACTCTGCGCAGAGGTTACGCACTGCAATTTTTCCGAAAGCCACCACCATTCCGAGGCGTACGGGCAGTACGCTCTCAGGTACGGGGATCGACAGAGGCACTACAAGCGGAGGTCTCCTCTCTGCTGAGTCGAGGCGCAGCAGTGGAGGTAGACCCGCAGGACGCCACCAGGGGGCTGTACTCCCCTTACTTCTTAGTGCCAAAGAAATCAGGCGGGGTGCGTCCCATTCTGGATCTGCGCGTGTTAAACGAGTGCATTTCCAAACGGCAGTTTCGGATGCTGTCCACAAAGCAGCTCCTCGAGTGTGTCAGGTGAAGGAGACTGGATGACATCCGTAGACCTGACAGATGCGTACTTCCACGTGCCCATAGTGCCAGAACACAGGAGGTTTCTGCGCTTCGCAGTGGGAGAGAGGAATTACGAGTACTGCCGTCTACCCTTCGGGTACGCACTCGCGCCTCGGACTTTTTCCAAATGTGTGGAAGCAGCTCTGGAGCCGATCAGACGTGCGGGGGTAAGAATATTAACCTATATAGACGATTGGTTAATACTGGCCCCATCCAGGGAAGTGGCCGTGAGCCACACGCACTGTGTCCTGTCCCACATACAGCGTCTGGGCTTTGTGGTGAACAGGGAGAAGAGCAAGCTGCAGCCAGCCCAACGCATGGTTTATCTCGGTCTGCAGCTAGACTCTGTGATATTCCGTGCTGCATTGTCCGTGGACAGACGGATGAATATTACCCGTCTGGCCCGGGAGGTTCTGGCGGGCCCCAGAGTCCCCGCTCGGCGCCTCAGGTCCCTGCTGGGAATGATGGCAGCGGCTCATGCTGTGGTGCGGCTAGGCCTGCTCCACATGAGAAATTTTCAGAGGTGGTTCTCGCGCCTCAGGCTTCACCCCTCCCGGGACGGGGGGAGGCTGATCTGGGTTCCCCAAGGGGCAGCATCGGACATCAGGTTCTGGCTCACTCCGGGTCTATTGCGGGACGGAGTGACTCTGGCCTGCGCCGTGTCTCACGTCGAGGTGTTCACGGACGCGTCGCTCGAAGGATGGGGCGTGGTCCTCGGCCAGAACTCTGTAGGAGGCTGCTGGTCGGACTCAGCCCGTCACATCAACCTGCTGGAGATGGAGGCAGTGCACAGAGTACTGCTGCACTTTGCCCCTCAGCTGCAGGGGAGACACGTGATGGTGCGCTCAGACAACACCACAGTGGTCTCCTATCTGAACAGGCAGGGGGGCACCAGGTCCCCCGCTCTCCATCGCATGGCGACGGTGACGCTGCTGTGGGCGGCGCTTCACCTCCTGTCTCTCAGGGCGCGCCACGTCCCGGGGGTCCGGAACGTGGGAGCCGACAGGATGTCCAGGGGGGGCCCACTCCAGGACGAGTGGGGCCTGGCCCCACGGGTAGCTGCGGAGATCTGGCGGAGGTTCGGCCGTCCAGTGGTCGACCTTTTCGCCAGTGCAGAGAACGCACAGTGCCCGTCCTGGTTCGCCTTAAGGGCCGCGGACCAGCCGCCTTTAGGCGTGGACGCTCTGGCTCATTACCCATGGCCAGGCGGCCTGTTGTACGCTTTTCCACCGGTGCGTCTCCTGCCGGTCCTGCTGCGGAGGATCGAACAGGAGAGGAGATCGGTGATCCTGGTGGCTCCGGACAGTCCGCATGCCCGGTGGTTCCCTTTCCTGAGGGGCATGGCGGTGATGGAGCCCTGGGCCCTCCCGGACGAGCCGGGGGCTCTAGTCCAGGGGGCAGGAGCCCTGTTTTCACGTCCGATAATCGGCCGCAGGCTCTGGGTTTGGAGGTTGAGAGGCGGAGCCTCGTAGATCTGGGTCTTCCCCCTGCGGTGGTGGAGACCATTCAGGGAGCGAGGGCGCCGTCCACCGTGAGGGCCTACGCCACGAGGTGGAGGCTATTCAGTGTCTGGTGCGATTCCCGTTCCTGGGATCCCAGGTGTTGCCCGCTGGAGGGGGTCCTGGGATTCCTACAGGAGCTCTTCGACAAGGGGAGGGCTGTCGCTACCTTGGCGGTGTTCGCGGCAGCCATTACTTCGGGTCACGACGGATTCGGGGGATTCACAGCCCGTTCTCACCCGTTGGTTAAACGTTTTCTGCGGGGGGCGCGCAGGAGGAGGCCCCCGCTCCAGAGAACGCCTCCGGTTTGGGACCTCAGGGTGGTCCTTAGGGGGCTGTCGGGTCCGCCTTTTGAACCGGCGGCGGAGGCGAGTCCCGAGTGTATCGCCTTTAAGACGGCCCTCTTACTGGCGTTGGCGTCTGCAAAGAGGGCGGGCGATTTGTGTGCGCTCTCCGTCCATGCGTCGTGCCTGTCCTTTGGAGAGGACGACGGCATGGTGGAATTGTGGCCCAATCCGGCTTTTCTCCCCAAGGTCATCACGTCGGCCTTTAGGTCGAGGGTCATCAGGATTAGGGCTTTCCACCCGCCGCCGCATGCCTCCCCCGAGGAGGAGCGGCAGCACCTTCTGTGTCCTATCAGAATGCTGAGGCATTACCTGGCCATGACGTCGTCATTCAGGTCGGGTGATCAGCTGTTTGTGTGTCTGGGCCCCAAGAACAGGGGCGCCCCGCTGTCGGCTCAGCGGCTGGCGCATTGGGTCGCCACGGCGGTGCGGCGGGCGTATCAGACGCAGGGTCTGGCCCCCCCGGTGGGTTTCAGGTCGCATTCCACGCGTGGGATGGCGGCCTCTACGGCCCTTCTCAGGGGGGCGTCGGTCGAGGACGTTTGCCGTGCGGCTTCTTGGGCTTCGTCCTCCTCTTTCGTCCAGTCTTATCTTTCGGATGTGTCGGACCGGTCGGTGGCCCATTCCGTGCTGAGTGCAGCGGACTGAGTTAGACCGTTGGGTCCCTCCCCTGAGGGGGGCCTTCGGTCTATTTTCCGCCCTGGTGCAGGAGCTCTTGGGAGAGGCATCCTACAGGTGCGGTACATTTTGTGTGTGTGGTCGGTCTGGTAGTCCACGTCAGGAGCTCTTGGGAGAGGCGTCCTGTGACTACGGATGACCTACGGCTTGTGTTACGTGGGGGTATCCTTGGTAGGAGTGGCCCCGTAACACGCTTGTTTCTTCTGCCCTGAGTCCTCTCACGTTGTGAGGGTCTTGCTCGGGCGGAGCTCCAATCACCTTCGCTGGCCTGCTGGGAGTACATTTTCCTACGGCCTCCGCGTTGTGTCCCACTAGCGAAGTCCTAAGGGACGTAGCACCATGACGTAGAATTAATAGTTACTTAATGTAACTTAAGTTCTACAAATAGGTGCGTAGTCCCTTAGCTACGAGCCCATCAGGCCAGCCCGGCTTGGCAGAGTTCAAGAGGGGGTACGGCCTTGTGCAGGGGCATTTATAGACGAAGGTGGCTGGTGATTGGAGCAAATTATTTTGATCTCTCTGGCGCGTGACCTGGGGGTCACGAGTGATATCCCACTAGCGAAGTCCTAAGGGACTACGCACCTATTCGTAGAACTTAAGTTACATTAAGTAACTATTAATTATTATAGATCCATGGTTTATCCACAATGCTGAACAGGGCCGTTATTATAGTAGATCCATGTGTGGGACAGGACACGTAACGCAGAGTCTCCTTCGGCTTTCTCCTCACACATTCTCCGACGCTGTTCCAATATTTAAAACAACGTGTTTGGCCTGTGTCATATGAGCTGCTGCTGTTGATGTTGAAGGTGGTTTTGCTCTAAAAAGAGCAAACACAGGCAGAGCAGACATGCTGCACATACGATCTCAATGTTTTCCTCCGGTTCCGCGTCTATCCTCCGTGAGCTCTCGCTGTCCAATAGGAGCCGATCGTCACACGTGTCAATATGTTTATATAAAAAAGTTCACTTGCAAAAAGGACAGTCTGAATACGAACCGGAGCAAAAGAAAAAAGTTTGGTCTGCTTTTGATTTGGATCAAGCAAGCGGAGCAAAGGACTTTTCAGGTCTGAATACACCCTAACAGACGAGTCCGCAGTTTCAGAGACAGACTCATTCATCCTCTTCGTGTGAAGGAGAGGTTTTGCAGGTCTTTCCTTCCTGCTGCTGTCAGACTGTACAATGAGAACAGCTGAGCCTATATGCGCATAACTTTACACTACATATAGATAGATAGATAGATTTATATCAAAATACTGATATTGAAGCATTTACAGCTAGCTAAGACACATAGCAGCTACTTATTTTGTATATTTTGTGTGCTCCCTGTGAGCTTTTACTACTGTCCTGTTTGTGCGCTGCAACATTGAAATTTCCCCACTGTGGGACAAATAAAGAATCTCTCTCATCTCTTGAACCAGGCATGGAAAACTTTGGCTTGTGGGCCAGATACGACCCGCAAAACCATCTTTAGTGGCCACTGAAATGATTTTAAATGATCATTATTACAGTAACTTGCAGCATCGATGGTGTTGGGACACTATGGCATGTTATACTTCATTTTAAAGCTTCTTTTCCGTCATAAAATTCAAATTAATAAACACATTTTTATCTAATTAGAATTTAAGTTAGGGTAAAGATATGTTTTTTATAGTTCACTATCAATCTTCACTTACATTTCTTCTTGATATTTGGCACAATTGTGGTTAAATCCAAACTCATGTCACATAAAACTAATTTGTCAAAAATATATAATGATGATTACGCTCTTACCGTTTTAAATTTGGCCCCTGAGAAGAATGAGTTTGTACCGCCTTAATGCGTTTTCTGCTTCTGTATAGTTTCTCCAGATTGAAATGTTTGTCTGAGTCCCTGTGCTGTGTCCCTCTGCTCAGGACACAGGGCTCTGTACGTGGGGGTGCGGATGCCTCGTCAAAGCCACAGACACCACCGGCCCCACGGCTCCAGGCACCGCAGGAGAGAGCGGAGATCAGGGAGCAACACCTCGGCCCCGAGCGAGGAGGCCTACCGGACCGGCAGCCACGGTAACAGACCAGATCGACAGAGTGCTGCTATTGCTGCTACTACTGCTGCTGCTGCTACTGCTGCTACTACTGCTACTGCTGCTACTACTGCTGCTGCTGCTACTGCTGCTACTACTGCTACTGCTGCTGCTACTGCTACTACTGCTACTACTGCTGCTGCTGCTACTGCTGCTACTGCTGCTACTGCTGCTACTGCTGCTACTACTGCTACTGCTGCTGCTACTGCTGCTACTACTGCTACTACTGCTGCTGCTGCTACTGCTGCTACTGCTGCTACTGCTGCTACTGCTGCTACTACTGCTACTGCTGCTACTACTGCTACTGCTGCTACTACTGCTACTGCTGCTACTGCTGCTACTACTGCTACTGCTGCTACTGCTGCTACTACTGCTACTGCTGCTACTACTGCTGCTGCTGCTACTGCTGCTACTGCTGCTACTGCTGCTACTGCTGCTACTACTGATACTGCTGCTACTACTGCTGCTGCTACTACTGCTACTGCTGCTGCTACTACTGCTACTGCTGCTACTACTGCTGCTGCTGCTACTGCTGCTACTGCTGCTACTGCTGCTACTGCTACTACTGCTGCTACTGCTGCTACTACTGCTACTGCTGCTACTGCTGCTACTACTGCTACTGCTGTTACTGCTGCTACTACTGCTACTGCTGTTACTACTGCTACTGCTGCTACTGCTGCTACTACTGCTACTGCTTCTACTCACTACAGACAGATTCAGATTAACATGTCTGAGAAATTAAATTACTCATGCCTTGTGGAAGGCCAAAGCAAATTTTTTTGTCAATATAATTTGTAGTGCTTAATTATATATAACAATGTGTTTAACTCCAGTTTTGGTTGAATCTAAACAATAAACACATTATGTTTTCTGAACTATCAACCAGAAAATAAGAAACAGAAGAAAAAGAAATCCCCTCTATTCTTTAAGCCTCCAACCAGTTCCTATTTTTGTTTTATTCTGACCAAAAGGAGGTTGATACCGTTGTGCTAGACAAATCATATAAATGCTCTCCTCCCCCCCTCCTCCTCGCAGACACGCCGTCCCAGAGAGTGCAGTCCATCCTGGGCACGGAGGAGGACGCGGAGCACGAGGCCCACGACCTGTTCACGGAGCTGGACGAGATCTGTGTTCGCGACGGCAAAGACGCCGAGTGGAAGGAGACGGCACGGTACGACAGCAGCTCCCAGAGAAGCCATCGATCCGTCCGTACCGTCAAACATGCTGCTTTGTTGGCATTCTCACCTTTTAATGGTTTCCTCAAGTATATGGTGGATCACTTTCTCAGTCACTATATTAACTTGAAGCCTGGAACTGAAGTCTTTCATTGGGGCATCTCTTTCACTTGGTTTTACGTACTTATACATCAAACTGCATCTCAAACATGGCCTGGGATTAACAAAATAGGAGTTCAAAAACCATTGTATTTACATTGCTTACTTCAAGGTGTGAACATTAAAGGGTTAAAGTCCAGAGAGAGTGTGTCTTCAGCCTCCACGTTCACAACATACCTTTAATAATGTTGATGTATTTCTTTGTTTTGATAGCGATAATGCAAACACCAATACAAAACAAGTAAATATGCCGGATTATACCTACAAAACCAGTTTTCATTCCTAATCCCTGGGCTGGCAAATGCATACATTAGAACATATAAGACACAAGGGAGAGTGTAATGTCATCTGCCTCATGTGTCCACAATATTGAGAAAGGGGGTCCGTTCACATGTACGGAGAGGCTGGAGATCCAAGACTTAGGCTGTAGAATGAGGACTGTCTCACATTTTCAGGAAGACTACTCCAGATTTTAGCTGTGTGAATCTGAAATGCAGACTCCCCATGTTGAGTCCTGACTCTGGGCACCAGCAGACCTAAATCCAATTACAAATCCGTAAGATCCGTAAAAATACCTGAAAACTGCTGTTCACAAATGTTCTCCATCTAGTCTGACAGAGGTCGGGTTGTTCCGCAAAGACAAATCAGCAAAACTTTCTCAAGATGTGCCATGCTTATATAGTCGTACTCCAATGGCAAATGTTCAAGTTGCATTCGCTGGAAAAAATCCCTTGAAAAAAATGAGAAAAACATATATGAAAATCAGACTTTTTTACTTAATCATTTTTGATCAATGGTCTTAAAATATAGCATAACATACTCGTTTTATCTAAACAAGAAAAGTTGTCTGGAAATAAGACAAAATTACCCTGAACAAGCATCATAAACTCACTGCTCAGACTTTTTTTATTATCAAGAATTTTTATCTTAAAACTAGTAAAATTATCTTACATGAAAAACTAAATGATACAATACAAAATAAAAACTTGCCATTAAAAAAAAAAAAGCATCATTTATGTATTTTTTAGTCAATAATTCTTACCACAATTTTACTTTTTTCAGCATTAGTATTTTTACTCTACCTCTGTCCTTCAGTCTCACAGTGTTGTTGTGTTCCGCAGGTGGCTGAAGTTCGAGGAGGACGTGGAGGACGGCGGCGAGCGCTGGAGCAAACCCTACGTGGCCACGCTGTCTCTGCACTCTCTGTTCGAACTGAGGAGCTGCCTCATCAACGGCACCGTGCTGCTGGACATGAGAGCGGACTGCATCGAGGAGATCGCAGGTCAGAAAATACACCACGAGCAATAAACAGGAGAGACCAGGACGAGCTCCAGACCACACCAAAGATTCAGTTCAATTTAATGTATTTACGTTTGGGCGACACGGTGGATAGTTTCTCTCGCTTCTCAGCAAGAAGGTAGAATCCCGGTCGGAACAGGTCCTTTCTGAGAGGAGTTTGCGTGTTCTCCCCATGTCTCCTCCGGGTGCTATGGTTTCCCCTACCGCTAAAAAAAGCACAATAGGTCTGAATGGTAATGAGTGAGTGAATGCATGGTGTTGGAGGCTTTGATGCTCCAGTGTGTTCGGCGTCTCGCTTCCGTCATCACCGTTTGTGGAGAAAATGGAACAATATCTGAACTCTGAACATTGTAAAGCGCTGTGGATGACCTTGGTCTGTAAAAATGCGCTGTATGGATAAATAAAGAAGAAAAAGAAGATGTATCGCCTTAAATCACAAAAGCAGTCGTCTCAAACTGTTGGAAGTCAGGAAATCCAATAATAACAAACACATAGGAGCTATTTGTTCATTGAGATGTCCTTAAATGTCCAATGAAAAACTAAAAAAATCAGTAGATGAAACCTTAGGAGGCCCACATTAAGAGAGGGACCTGCTTCCACAGATTGACAGGCTGTAGATCCAGGACTGAGGCTGTAGACCCAGGACTGGGGCTGTAGATCCAGGACTGGGGCTGTAGATCCAGGACTGGGGCTGTAGAACCAGGACTGACACTGTAGATCCAGGACTGAAGCTGTAGTTCCAGGTCTGAGGCTGTAGATCCGGGACTGAGGCTGTAGTTCCAGGTCTGAGGCTGTAGATCCATGACTGAGGCTGTAGATCCATGACTGAGGCTGTAGATCCATGACTGAGGCTGTAGATCCAGGACTGAGGCTGTAGATCCAGGACTGAGGCTATAGATCCAGGACTGAGGCTGTAGATCCAGGAGCATGCCCAGCAACTGAGCATGCCCAAGAAATCCCGAAATAGACTACTGGCCTTGATCCCATCGCATCACAGCGCCACCAACAGGCCTGGCAGAGTTTCCCAGCGTTCTCAGGGGCATTGACTTCATTCATGAGGCTGCAAACAAGTTTCTTGAAACTAACTGACTTTGTGAAGATGTAGCTTAACTTTCTTCTCAATCCAGTCACTTTTCTCGGCTACAGTTTCCCTGCTGCGATTGGCCGATAATATTAGACTTTACGCAGCTCATGGCAGAAGCAAAACTAAAATATGCCCAGTTTTGTGTGGAGTATCGCGTTGCGTTCTGGCTGACGTCCTTGTGTGGGCGGTGGATCGATACGACCCAGAGAGAAGCCGCCGCGGGGAACGAGACACTGCTATATTCAGACTCTTCTCTGTCTGCACCTGGTCCTGGTGCTCTGTGTGCGGGTTATCAAGTGACTTCAGCACACTGCCAACTGTGGGCGAAAAGGGCAAATATTACACACAATCTACACGGTTAAAGCTGCACTAACTGACTTTATTTTTGTATTAATTACGAAAATTCAATCCATATCCATGCAATGCATTGGGATATACGTCCTTTTGAAGAAAAAGTAGCGCAGATTTGTGCTGGTGTGTCATTTTGTTTTAGATTGAGTTTTTGTGAAACAAGGAAGAAAATGTGTTTCAGGACCATATTGTGACCAATCACAGCGGACCACTGGCCCCCACTTTCTTGAGAAAAGCTACAGGTCTCTCGTTAGTACAGACAACTAAGGTAAACAAGCGGCGGAGGCTAACCTGAAGCTCCCTGTGTCTTCGTTACCGGTTTCTGCTTACACAGAGAAATATCCATCCAAAAGAAAGTCTCGTTCCTCCGTGCTTCCCGATTCTATCATTCTAGAGTCATGCCATCCACGTTCAAATGTGCGATCCATATTGTGAGACGTGAGCTCCGTATAAAACATGGATCTATAATAATAACTGGATAGGGTATTACTAGCTTATAGTTGTCCCACCCATGGGCACAGGGGGCGCCTGTGGTACTGCAGACTAAATTCACGAGGGCTACCAAGAAAAAAGTCCCATAGAACTCAATGTAAATTAAAACAGCTCGGCCTCAGCTGACAGAGAACCTGCAGCTTTCAGAAAGATCGGATTTTGTGGGGATTTTAGTGTCCCTTGTCATCCTGAACTTTTTTTCTTCTTAAATCCTTCTGTTTTCTTTAAATCCACACTTTACTGCCACAAACTCTGCTCCTTTCCGTCCCGCTCTGACTCCGCTCTGCTGCTGCTCTGATCAGCAGCTCTGATTGGTCAGAGCGCGGCCGAGCCCCTCTGTGCGCGTGCATGAAAGCCACACACGCGTATTTGGCGCGACGCATCATGGGAGATAATCCACTGTGCAGAACCGGGAGGACCAGACAATGTCCAAATATAGGCGAGTTCAGCTAATCTCCAGGTCTCCGTGAAGTCCCATGCGCTACTGAGCACAAGCCATTCATTTGAATAGGGCGCCATCTTGGATCACCGGGGCTTAGTATACAATTAACACAGTGCGGCTGAGGGGGAGGGGGTGGGGGGCGAAAGCTCCGTGGGTGCGGAGAGGGCGAGCAAAAAGAGCGAGCCCAGCGCTCACATTTGAACATTTCTCAAAGTCAGTTAGTGCATTTTTAACACTAGAACTCCCAGAGCCGTCAAGTCGACAGCTTTTCGTTATGGAAGTGCAATTACTCCATTTTTTTTTTTTTCCTTTTACATTTTTGGTCTTTATAACTTTGTGACCTTTTCTGTTTCTAAATTTAGTTTATTTTTTATAGCATTATATTGCTGACATTTTTTTGACGGCTTCAGAGCAATCTCAGCTTGGAGTAATTGCTAGTTACCATGGCAACACTATGTTTACTTGCAGCAGTTATCATGCAGTTTTGTTGTATTTCATGTATATTACCCAGGTTTTAGCATGTATTAAAGATGAAAATAAAACTATATGAATTTTTTAATCGAGTCAAAATGACTGCTTTGGGAGTTTTTATAATTTCAAAATTGTGGGAGTCCTCGTGTTAAAGGTGGGGTACCTGACTTTTTAACTTCAAACAAGAGACCAACATTGGGGTAATCCATGTAACTAGTTCCTGGCTCTAAAACAGTTTGATGTTATCACTAGTTTTCACCTACAAAAAAAAGTGAAAAAGTGAGAGGACCACCCTCACTCAGCCAATCAGCTCTCAGCACAGAAAGTGGATTTTTTATGAAACTAGATTCAGATTCAGACTACTTTATTTATGCCACGAGGGAAATTCATTTGAGCAGAATGGGGCATCAACACAAAAATTATAAATTAAAAAGTAATTTTTCAGTCATTGGCCATTGGTTTATGTTTTATGAACAATGTCGAAATGCTGTGTTGAGCTGGGACAACAGTGGGAAAGGTTGGTGTGTTGCTTGAACCCGTGACGGCTTTTCGCCACAGGAAAGACAGGAATGTTCAAAATACAAATCAAATGGTCAAAACAATTTTCAGACTTTCAAAATCATCTAAAGTCACAGTGCAGTGCCTCCAGGACCAGAGTGAGAGAGACTAGAGAGATAAAGGTAGAGACCAGAGGTTGAGACCAAAGAGAACATATAAAGTCCACAGAAAGACCATAGAGAGAGTTCAATCTGAAGAGACCAAAGACACAATTAATACAATAAAATTATTTATTTGTTTGGCGCGTTGACCCCGGCAGTGACACTTGCAGCAATGAGATCGATTGCAGCTGAAGATGATCTCAGATCCCCCGGGGTCAATCACTGGTGGTGGCTAGAGTATGGTGTGAATGGGGCGTAGGCGGAGCAGGAGCCGGAGTGGGAGCCTAGAGCGGGAGCCAGAGCGGGAGCCAGAGCGGGAGCCAGAGCGGGAGCCAGAAGCCAGAGGGGGTGCTCGGGAGGTGGTGGGTGTTTAAGAGCCTCAGGAAGCGTTGTTTGTCAGGAAGTGGCTGCCTTTTAAACTGCCCGCTTTGCTGTGAGAGGGTTGGCAGGAGGCTGGCCTGGCTGTGTGATTGGCTGAGGCTCGAGGCTGGCAGGCACTCGGTCTTTCAGTCTGAACATGCGCATTCAGCTTCATAAACCAGAAAGAGAGACAGCAACAGGCGAGAAAACAGTGGTTACTTGGTGTCTAAAACACAGCTATATATGCTGCTAAAAGACAAGTCGTTCTGAAACACCAGCCCGTGTTGCTCAGTGTTGACGGAAAAGGCTTTTACAAATGATTTTTTAGGTAAACAATCAGGGTTTTTACGCAGTGGAAATGAGTCTTACAACGTTTTTGTGTTTCGATGAGTTGTGTTTTGACTTGTTGGTTGTTGGTTTGACGAAGGCTATAGACTGAAGATTGTTACCTATGAAAAAACATCCCGAACACATTTCTTAAAATTGTTTTGTACAAGAAGCAAATGTATAAGTGTGAAGAGGTGGTGTTTGTCCGATGCAGTGATGTAAACGTCGCCGTCGGCAGGTGATGTGATAATAATAGTTTGTGACACTATCTCTCCTCTCTTCCTGCTCATCCTCCTCGGCCTGCTCTTGTGTTTTACCGCTGTCAAAAGCAGCTGCTTCTCCTGCGCCTCATCGTAACACAAACCCATCTGCTGACACGGCTCCTTTCATCCACAACGCTGAAGTGAAAGTGAAACAAAGACTTCAAACACTTCCTTCCACCTCCCTTTATTTGGGGCTGTTTTTCCGAATCGCAATTAATCACAGTTTGTAGCGCCACTTTCATGTGTAAGAGCCAGATCCCATCAGACCTCTGGAGCTAAGCAGGGCAGGGCCTGGTTAGTACCGTGATGGCAAACCTCAGCGGCAGTGAAGTTCCAAACTCTCCCATAATGCCCAGTATGAGTCTGGTGTGTGTAAAGAATTGGAGGTGGTCTGCTTCAGAATACAATTTGCAACTTTATGTCATATACGTAATAATAATGCATTTGTTTTACAGAGCGCTTTTCAGGACACTCGCAGACGCTGCACGTGTCATTATTCTACTTCATACACGGTGGTGATAAACAGCTATTGTA